CAGGATATCCATTCTGCTCTGTCCAGCTCTGCACCTGGGGCAGGACGTGCTGGTGGCTGYTTTGCACCTCTCCCCACAGATGCCGGCTCCTGCCGGGTGTTTTGTTTCCGTCGCTCTCCTCCTGGACCTTTCCTGTTTCCTTCCGTGCGGATGCAACTGGAGGAAATCTCAGAGCGTCGGCTTTCCTGTGGCTGTGTTCCAGCTGCAGTCATGGGCTGGGGACAGCTCGATGTGTCCTGGGACCTGTCCTCCCTGGCAGTGATGGCACTGGTGGCAATGGTGGTGCTGCTCATGCCGGTGGTGATGGTGGCACTGATGGCAGCGGTGACAGTGGTTTTTCTCCTGGCAGTGCTGGCAGCGATGGTGCTGCTCATGCTGGTGAAACCCAGTGGTGGCAGTGGTGACACTGGTGGCAATGGTTAGAGTGGTGGCAGTGGTGGTGATGCTGCTGGTGCTCCTCATATTGATAGCAGTGGTGACATTGGTGGCAGTGGTGGTGCTGGTGTCAGTGGTCATTGTGGTAGCAGTGCTGATGGCAATGGTGACAGTGGCAATGCTGCTGATTCTGGTTGCAGTGATGGTGGTGGCCATGGTGACACTGGTGGCAATGGTGGCAGTGGTCATTGTGGTAGCAGTGCTGATGGCAATGGTGACAGTGGCAGTGATGCTGATTCTGGTTGCAGTGATGGTGGTGGCAGTGGTGACACTGGTGGCAATGGTGTCAGTGGTCATTGTGGTAGCAGTGCTGCTGGCAATGGTGACAGTGGCAGTGCTGCTGATTCTGGTTGCAGTGATGGTGGTGGCAGTGGTGACACCGGTGGCAATGGTATCAGTGGTTGTGTCATCAGTGGTGCTCCTCATATTTATGGCAATGGTGACAATGGTGACAATATTGTCAGTGGTGGTGCTGGTGGCAGTGCTCATGCTGGTGGCAGTGGTGACAGTGGTGGTACTGCTGGTACTGTTCTCATGTACAGCTGATCCTCACAGACCTGCTGCCTGTGGTCACTCGTGGCAGTGGCAGTGGATGTGTGCAAAAAATTCTGCATGGTGATAACTGGGAATATTCAGAAATTCAACTTTGGTTTTCAGGGTGATGGAAGTGCTTGTTGGGAGCAGGGAGAGCAGGAYTTGATCAGCCTTCAGGGGAAAGGGCTGGTCAGTGTCTTGCTTCGTGGGCTCAAAGCAGGAGAGAGGTCGAGGAAGTGTAACCCAGCTGGGAGTTTTGTTGGGTTTCTCTGAAGGTGAACTTTGAACAGGAGATGTGCTCRCTCCGAGATCGCTATATTTATCCGCGGGTGAGATACAGATTGTTTGGGTGAGTAAGAGCCTTTGTTCCGAGTCCCGCTGCTGAAGCCCATGTGGAGCGACACTTTGGCTCTGCAAAGCTTCCTTTTCCTTTGTCTGGGGAGTTGCTGCATTTAGGAAAAGCTGGTTCCACCATCTGTGTCCTGCTTGCTGAGTACCAGCAGCACAACCATCAGATCAGGCAGCTGCTCCAACCAACCTCTGCCATCCACTGGGTGAAGATCTGGCCTTTATTTCCTATCAAGTTGCTCTGAGGAGGATCAGCCTCATCCCTCTGTTGCAGGCTCTGTCCCTGAACAGCTTTGATGAGACCAAGGCATTTGTAATGGTGTTGCCACACTGCAAAGGAACATTTTGGAGAGCTCTGTGATGCCCTCTGCTTTGGGGTGTAAGACAAGGAGATGGTGCCTCAGTGTTCCCCATCCCGCAGAGCATCATCCTTCATTGCTCACTTGCCACACTGGTGTTCATCCTGAATCTTCACCAGGCTCTTGGCTGCAAAATTCTTGTGGAAGAAGCAGAAATTTCCACAATCATGGTGAAGAAGAAAAAAAAATCATAGAATCACTAAAGTTGTAAAATATCCCTGAGATCAAGGAGTCCAGCTGTTAAACCAGCACTGCCAGGTCCACCACTAAACCATGTGCCACATCTGTGCCTCATTTGAACACTTCTAGGGATGGTGATGCACCACTTCCCTGGGCAGCCTTTTCCAATGCCTAACCACCCTTTCAGTAAATAAATATTTCCTAATGTCCAATCTAAACTTCTTCTGTCACAACTTGAGGCTGTTTTCATCTTCTTGTCGCTTTGCTACGTGGGAGAAGAGACCARCMYCCACCTGGYTATTGGGCTTCCCCAAGACRGGTTTGAGCCTGACAGGCCAGGGCTGCATTGCTGAGCATCCTCATCCTGGKCTTGCTCACTGTGTCCTCACATGCTTCCTTTAGCTCCCCCGGAGCGCTCAAATCAGAAGGATTTATATTGCACTTGGCAGGTTATTAATATTAGCTGAAATTTCCCTTTTCCACATTGTTCTGCCATGCTTAATATGGAGATCAGCATYGCAGCCTGAAACGCCGGGGATGATTTGTGATTGAATATCCATTAGGGATTTATGGGCTTCGGGGCTGAATTGCTGGGATATGCGATTGCCAAAATACTTGAAACGCTTCCACTGGAGAGGAGACCTTGTGGGAAAGGAGCACTCGCTGTTCTCGTAGGCAGGCAGTTCCCACTGAGCCTCTGTTACTGGCAGCGAGCACACCCAAACCATTAAAAAATTGTATGGGATGCAGAGCACCAATGGAGCATGAACCGTGTGCTGGATGATGCCAGGGGGCAGAGCAGGCATCAGTGCTGGCAGCAGCTCCCTGTCCCATGGGGCTGCTCAGCAGATGGGATTTAATCCAGGATGGGTAAACCACAGGCACTGTTCTTATTAACAGCTGGTTAAAACGAGGTACAAGGTTGTTTGGAGGGAGAAAAGTCATTTTTTGTTGCTTTCCCTTGTGCMCCTCTGGTGCTGGTGCATCAAATTTGATAGGAGAGGTGGCATTAAACACACTGGAAGAGCCTGAAGAGCAAAGGCATAAAAAGTAAAAGCAAAAAATCCTCAAGCCCTTTGTTTTGGAGAAACTGGGTTTGCAAGGGGATGGTTTGGGGCAATTCCTGCTTTGCATCAGCTCTTGCCTTTGAGCAGGCAGCTGGAGCTGCCCATCCCTCYCACTTCCCATCCCTTCAGAGGGTTTTAACCTCTCTTTTCCTTAAATTGAAAAGGATGAGCCTTGCTGAGGGGATGGCCAGCAGGTTTTCCTTGGGAAACGTTCACTCACCGTGTTGCTGGCTCTTTTTGTGGTTGTGCTGGCCAGCAGCTCAGCAGCTGGACATGTAGGAGCCACACAGCCAAAATCAGCCCAAAATTACCCTCCAGAAATACCACACTGGTTCTTACCCAGCCATGGTGAGATTGTATCAGGGAGAAGCAGACCCCACAAACAAAGTGATGGGTGGGATCAGCACTGAAAAAGCATGGTGAACACTCTGGGGAGAGCAGGTTTCCCAGCCCATTTTGCAGGATCATTGCAAGCTTTGAGCAAAAATTCCAGCTGCTGTGGTCCAGGTGGGGTGGGTCAGGTACCCTGGGGGGTTCAGCATCATCTGTGGGCCAAACTGCTCTAGACCACACAAAAAATCCTGTGGTGAGGCAGCTCCCACCTCACTAGCATCCCTCAGCCAAGCTCCCAGCCTCCAGCTCCCAGCTGYTAAAATCTGATCTTCACAATGGGGACCGGAAAGTCTTTCCCTGTGTCTGTCCCACTCATCCCCTGCAGCCCACACAGAGTTTGAGCTTTGCAGAATGTCCTTGCAGGGCTCTGGGGTAGCATCACCCTGGTTTCTATAAGGGAGAAAAGAAAATGTCAGGAATGATGGGACATGGTTGATAGGAAAAGTCCATGATTTTAGCAGCCAAGCTGAGCACTTCCAGCAGAGCAGCTCTGCTTCCTTTGACACCTCACCTGGCTTTTTTCCCATTGCTATTTTTTTCATTCTTGGGTACCAGTGGAGAAACAGCAGCTGTTGAGCAGGTTGCAAATGACACTGGGACCTGGAAGAGCCCATTGTGAGCACCCAGGTGCTTCGATGAGCTGGTCCGTGCTCAGCTCATCTCSCTGCTCCCACCTTGTCTCATTACATCAGGGTGAAACAATCCAGAGGGGAAAGTTTCTGGCTGCTGTGAGGAGAGGCAAGGGGGTGCCTGCTGGCCTGGCTCGGGTTACTTATGTGCTTATGGTCTATTTTGAGGCTCCGGCCACACGGCTCTAAGCAGCTGCTGACCTGGGGGAAGGACCAGCTTCAAAACAAGAGTCCAGTGGGAACAACCTGGGGAGGCACCRGCTGGGTTTCCCTCAGCTCCGAGTGGGGCTGGCAGAGCCCTTGCCTCCCTGCTGGGCCTATCATCTCTTGGATTTGAATTTCCACAGTGGGAATTGACTTCCTTTTTCAATTCTTCCTAGTGCCATCCTTGAAAGCAAAGATACTACGGGATGAGGGGCCAGGGTTACCGGGAGCATTGTTCCGGCGGTGTGGGAATGTGGATGAGCAGGCAGGGAGACACATCCATCACTAACACTAGCAAAACCACACACACGCGACCCCTCCTCACCCCCCTCCCCAAGAAAGCTCATTTGCAGGCAGCTTAGTTCTCCTAAGAGCATTAGAGGTGCATTTGGTGGCCATGAGCCCAGCGCYGGGAGCATGTGGCCGATTAGCGGCAGCGGCAGCTGGTTTCGGGCACAGCATGCGTTTGGGGTGGAGATACTCAACGTGCTTTTTGGGGACACAAAGGTGAGGTCTGGGGGCTCTGGAGGGGTGTCGGGGGGATCAGCTGGTGTGGATTGGGTGCTTAAATCCACCAGYAGGTGCAGATGTTGGGTGGCATATGGGAGCAAGCCCTTCCCTGCCATGTGCTTTTCCCTTCTGTGGGTGAAATGTGAGTTACCCTCTCTGGCTTTCCAGTGCCATTTCAGCTCTCCAGATGATATTTCAGTTTTGGTTTTAAATACCACCAGGCTTTCTAATCTGTGGTTGCCTGTGAAGATGAGCATGGTCAGGGATGGGATGTAGCAGGTGATGGGGCTCCTGGTTGGGAAGAGGAGACTCTCATCACTCTCTCTTTTCCTCCCCTGCAGCCTCGCTCTCCGCTGGGATTTATGGAGGTGCTGAGGAGCAGCTGTGAGCCCCGCAGCCCCCAGCAGCCCGCCCTGTGAAGCAGCCCCGGGCCGCCTCTCCTCGTCTCGCCCAGCATCCCGACCCTCCGACTCAACCATTCAAGGCTCCCGTGCATGGATCGCCCCAGCGAGGCACCGCTGCCGGACGCCGCCGACGCCGCCCCGTAGGCTCCCGGCCCCCCGTGCCGCCCCCAAGTACTCCACATACCCCGATGGGGTAACGTGACGGGGGTCACCCTCCCGCCACCACCACCCCCCATATGCAGAGGCCTTTCTAGAGCGCCCGGGAGCGCGCGGCGCCGGAGGCGGCAGCCGCTCGCCGTCGCACACACGCAGAGGACGCCAACACTACAGCAAAGGGATTTTTTTTTTAATTATTATTATCATTAATATTATTTTTTTTTCCCCCATCTGGCTTTTCTTTCCCCCCCSRGGGGYTTGTGGTGTGTCAAGGAAGCCGGCRCACTCCCAGGAGTTGGGATTATTTGCACAACGTCTGTATATTGAGTTCTCGATCCTGTTTCATTTTTATTTTTGAAGCGCAGAGGGGTTGTTGGGTTTTTGGTTGTTTTTTTTTTTTTTTATTTTTCCCCCCCACACCACGCTTTTCTTGGGTTTTCCCCCATCACTGTCAGCACCACCTCACTTTCCCACTGTCCCACCATGGCCCGGATGAACCGCCCTGCGCCCGTGGAGGTCTGCTACAAAAACATGAGGTTCCTCATCACCCACAACCCCACCAATGCCACGCTCAAYACCTTCTTGGAGGTAAGGAGGGGAGGCTGGAAGGCAGGGACCACGGTCCAGTTGCATCTTTTGGGGCTAAAAGCTGATRTAGATGAGAGGGCTGCACATCCCCTTTGGTGGAATGCTCGGGCAGTGGGTCCAGTCATTGTCAGCTTTTTGGGGTGGGATGTTTTTCGGGACCCTAAGTGTGATGTTTGGGCACAGTAGGGATGGAGCAGAGTTTCCCCATTGCTGTTGCATCCCCTGCCAGCTCCACTAGCACATCATGTCACAGGGCTTTGGAGTGAAACCTGCCCTGCACTTCCAGCACCTCAATGGCAACTTCTCATCCCCAATATCCCAGCATGTTTCCAGTGCCCMGAGTGTGTTGGGTGGTGCTGGAGAGCTCAGTGTTGCAAGGGCCAGCACTGGCAGCAGCTGTGTGACTGCCACTGGCTCAGGGTGACAGGAAGGTGGCTGTGATTTGGGGACAGCCACCCCATACCCCACATGCTATGCACAGAGCAGTGGGGACCACACCAATGCGAAGGCAGAAAAATTCCCCTTCCCTCCAGCCTCTTAGACTTTTGGCTGGRCTGCTGAGCGTGTGGGGGGCTCAGCACGGTCTGGTGAGCGCACATGGGGAACAAAGGAGGCGGATCATTGGCGGGGATGATCTCATGGTGCCCGGCGAGGCCGGTGTACCGGGCACGTAATCCGGGGGCAATCCTCACGCYGGGCAAYGAGCCATGCTGGAAGCATCCCAAGTCCCACGCCTGAGCCTGCAGCGTGTTGGAGTGATGATGGGATACAGCAGCGAGGTGGAGAAGGAGCCCCTGAGCCATCTGTGAGATGCTGAGCTCGACTGGGGCGTGCTACAACTCCCCCCCAGCTGCCTCCATGCATTTTTGCATCAGGARTGTGACCTCACCAGGCACAAATAATTTCTCCTTCAGAGGACTTGCACCCATGTCAGGGATGTTGCTTTGCCTAGGGTGTAAAATCCCTGCTGATGTGGCTGTCAGGGCTTAAAAATAAACGGCCCCATTGGCACTCGTGACTCTGAGGAGTCAAGAAGATGCTGGTTAAARATCCTACTGTGGCCACGTGGCTTTGGTGTCCTGGGATTTCAAGTTTCCTTGTGCATACCAGGCTGGATGGACTGTAAGGTGTTTGCTCGAGTGTCCAGAGATGGGTCACAGCACTGTTTTAGGGTCCACAGTGCTCCATGTGGCTTGTAGAGCAGGGTTTAGATATGTTGGGGTTAAACAGGGTGCATGTGGCAGGATCTGTTCAGACCCCTCCTTCTCCTTCCCTCCTCAGGACCTGAAGAAGTACGGTGCCACCACGGTCGTGCGAGTGTGCGAAGTGACCTATGACAAGACCCCCCTGGAGAAGGACGGCATCACTGTCATGGTAGGAGGGCAGCAGGACGGGGCTGCCTCAACACCACCCTTAAATATCCCATCCCTCGGGGTTGTTAAACACCCTGGCAGCCCAACACAGCATCACACTCGCCCARGAGCAGAGTTGGAAGCCCAGCTGAKCTGAGCTGAGCTGAGCTGAGCTGAGCTGAGGCTGGGGCTTTAAAAAGAGAAGTGCTGCCCACGCAGCCGAAACTGTGACTCACCCGGCTGAGTCGGCAGCTGCCTTCCCTGCCTGTTGCTCAGGCTTTGAAACATCCAGGGATGAGAGCGCCTGATCCCACGTGGAAGATGCGCGTGGTTCCCATTACCCCCGGCGTTATCTTATCCTGGGGGGTGGTGTGAGGGTTTTTTTTTTTGCTCTTCCAGCAGCCGGCTGGTGCAGCTGGGGGGATGAAAGAGAGCAGGCAGCAAGCTGGGAAAGGCAGAGCAGGCAGCTGCCTGGGCTGTGTCTTGGCTGATAAGTAATTGGAGATGATGTCAGGCGTGATAGCCCTGCCAGGGAGTTCAGCTCCAGCTGGGAAGTGAGGCTCTGCTCTTTATTTAGGGGAGGGTTTGGAAGTGCCTCGTGTCTCCTGGGGTGGTCCTCTGTGTGTAGGACCTCTTTGTATAACTCTGTCTACGTAATGTATATCCTAGAGAGAGAGAAGGCTGTATCCCAGATCCTCAGGGATATAGGTGCATAATCCTGTGCCTCTYTGCATTTAGATCTTCCAGATACAGATGTCTCTAGATATAGATGCAATCTGTGTCTCTACAGAATATRTCTTGGAAAGATAGCTGTATCCTACATAGAGAATCTGTATGTTGGAGATGATATCTGCTCACTTACCAAATTCTGCCTTTTACCCCATTTCTAAATGGAGCCTCCAGTTGGAGTTTCTGTATCTGGGTTATATGTACCTCCTCACATCTCATATCTCTCTTGTGTGGAGAGATCCATATCTAGGCTATGTTTTATATAGGGAGMTGGAGAAACTATGTAAGACACTGTATAAAAACCAAATATCTTCTGTATCAAAGTTTCTATAACCATATAGAAACCATATAAAGTAAATCATAGATATATCTATAACCTAGGTATCTATAAAAAGATGTATCTATGCAGATACAGAAATATCTCTATATAATTTTATCAAATGCATCTCTATATATTTTATATGTGTCATGGTATGTGTTTATATTTGGTATATACATTTTTGGTATATTTTTAGGATGCATCTTGAGATATATATATATATAGATATAGATATAGATATTTGACAAATAAATATATCTTGGTGCACAAGTCTGATGAGGAGCAGCTGAGGGTGTTTAGCCTGGAGAAAAGAAGGCTTGGGGAAGATCTTATCCTCTACTACCTGAAAAGAGGTTGTAGCCAGGTGGGGGTTGGCCTCTTCACACAGGTAACAAGCAACAGGATAGGAGGGAATGACCTCCACTTGCTCCAGAGGAGGTTTAGATTGGACATCAGGAAAAATTTCTTCAGTGAAAGGGTTGTCAAGCATTGGAACAGCCAGCCCAGGAGGGTGGTGGAGTCATCATCCTCGGAGGGATTTAAAGAGGTGTAGATGTGGCACCTGGGGACATGGTTTAATGGTGGCCTTGGCAGTGCTGGGTTAACAGTTGGACTTGATCTTAGAGTGCTTTTCCAACCTCAACGATTCTATGATTCTATATTTAGACCACATATAGGCCTGGAGAAGAGAAGGCTCTGGGGAGACCGTAGAGCCCCTTCCAGTCCCTAAAGGGGCTGCAGGAGAGCTGGACTATTGACACAGGCATGTAGTGATAGGTCAAGGGGGAATGACTTTACTGGCAGAGGGCAGATTTAGATGAGACATAAGGAAGAAGCTTTTTATCATGAGAGTGGTGAGACACTGGCACAGGTTGCCCAGAGAAGCTGTGGCTGCCCCATTCCTGGGAGTGTTCAGGGCCAGGCTGGATTTGACTTTGAGCAGCCTGGTCTAGTGGAAGGTATCCCTGCCCATGACAGGGCTTGGACCAGATGATGTTTGAAGGTCTCTTCCAACCCAAACCATTCCATCATGGGATGATTCTGTGGTGTGCTGTGTCACCCCTGGTGCAGGCCCCTGACCTGCACTCGTGGCTGCAGGGAGGAGATGGCCTTGCAGGAGGAGATGGCCTTGCAGGACAGGCACAGGCTGGGCAGAGGGGGCTGACTCAAGCCCTACAAATACCCTGAAGCCCGGCGTGTTCCTTTCCTATCAAATCTCAACAGAAATCACACCACCTGTTCAAACAGTGAAGTGAAGCAGCTTATTTTGCCATCTCACACCAGGGATGACTCCAACACAGCAGCTTAGTGACTCACTGCTCAAAATCTAGGATTAGGGCCCGGTGCCTCCCACCCTTCAGGGCTCACCAAGCCACCTCACCTCCAAGTGATGCTGCATGGCCAGTGGTCATGCTCCTCATGCCAAATCTGTTTTGGGAAAGAAATCCCCATTTTGAGACACTCACTCCTCATAACTCAGCCCAAGGCCAAGGGGTACCTAATGCAGAACTCATCCAACCCACTTCCTGACCACGCTCCAATTTTGTGTCCCTGCAGCTTGAGGATGAGGCTCAGAAGACGATGGGATTTTTTTTTCGTTGTCCCTTCATAGCCTTTCCTGAAGGATGATATTTAAATGGCCCCATTTGGAGTGATCTCCCTCCCTTTAACTCTCTCTAGGGCTGTTAGGAGTCCCCAGACCATTCTTATGGGCCTCGTGTGTTCCCTTCCCCTCCATGTGTAGCAGGAAGCTGAATTTCAGCWCTGCACTGAGCTCTTGAGATTTCAACCATCTTCAAGCCATCTTTGCTCAAATTCCCTACCAAGTCCTCCCAAGTGCTGAAATTAGACAGGAACTGGGAGGGGAGGGGCACTGCATTGGTCCAAAGCTCAGTGAGGTCATCTGGATGGGGAGGGAACGGGGTGGCCATCCTGGTCTGCAGAGGTGGGAGATCATGGGGACTGTGTTGTAGATCCTGTGGGTGCTCCTGAAGGCTGAACCTGCCCACAGGAGATGGAAAGAGCCCAGGCCCCAGACTTGTGTGGCTTCAAACCCTAAGCAAAAGCAGCCAGGGAATTCCTGTATGCCAAATGATGTCACAAAACCCCCCGAATCCCCACAGAGCTGTGCTGTGAGCCCAGTTCTGGCACTCACCCACCTCCCCGCTGCAGAGATCCCAAACACCACCACCCTGAGTGAAAAACAACCCCTGAGAGTTTTTTTCTGGAGTTTTGACAGTGTTTCTCTTTTCCCAACCTTGCAGGATTGGCCATTTGATGATGGAGCTCCTCCTCCCAGCAAGATTGTGGAAGATTGGCTCAACCTGCTGAAGACCAAGTTCTGCGAGGAYCCCGGCTGCTGCGTGGCCGTGCACTGCGTGGCCGGCCTGGGGCGGTGAGTCTGAGCCCAGCACCCCAACTGCCACCCCTCTGTGAATGCAGGAGGGGGAAAACCATGCCAGCATTCCTCCTTCCCTTCCCCAGTCCCCCTTGGAGCAGGGTTTTGTCCCAGCTGCCACCCCACCGTGAAGGCAGGAGAGGGACAACCATGCCAGCACCGCTCTGCCCTTCCCCAGTCCTGCTTTGTGAAACCTTAGTGGGGATAGGTCTTGGTGGGGGGGAACTGCTACCTGAGCTGCTCCTTGAACTTTAAATGATGGATATCAGCCTCTGGGCCGTGTGACTGGGGAGTGACAGCCGCTGCTTTTGCCTTTCAGCGCTCCCGTCCTTGTGGCGCTGGCCTTGATCGAGAGTGGGATGAAGTACGAAGATGCCATCCAGTTCATCCGACAGTAAGTGGAGCAGTGTTCTGGTGTTGGGGCACAAAGTCCCTCTCTGAGGGAACAGAGAGATCTGGCATGTCCCAGGGTGTTTTTTTGTGATGCCAGGGGGTTGTTTTTCTCTGCTTTGGGAGGGGGGAAAAGGAGGTGTTGGCATGGAGCACCCTGTGCCTTTGCAGCGGGGCTGCAGGAGGCTGGGGCAGCAGCTGGCAGCATCCCTGAGGGGCTTTTTTCAGTCCCCTCATCTCTGCCCCACATTTCCTCCCCAGCCCTCCATGTCCCAAAATCTCCAAGGGGGACGAGTGAGGAAAGCTGCTGGGGTCACCAGAGGGTGCACCTGGCTTCAGCCTCCAAAATCCTGCTCCAGGCAGGGAGCTCAGCACCCTGACAGGCTGGTTTGGGGTGAGGGGATCTCGTGCCACACCTCTGACCATTCTGGCCTTTCTCTGTCCCCGCAGGAAGCGCAGAGGAGCCATCAACAGCAAGCAGCTGACGTACTTGGAAAAATACCGACCAAAGCAGAGACTCCGATTTAAGGACCCTCATAACCACAAGAACAAATGCTGCATCATGTAACCTCAATGACCTCTTGCCAAAATCCGTGCACAGACCCCGGGCACTCGCACACATCCCACCCCTTCACCTCCTCGCCCCGCCCTGCACTCCCCATGTGCTGCCCTCTGCCAGGGCCGGGCTGGGGGCGTGGAGCATCTCCTGTGTGTTCCAGCACTCACAGCACACTCGTCTTGCTGGACCCCCCCAAAAAAAGCTGCTGTCTCCAGCTGCAGCCCCGAGGAGGGGAGGCAGCACTGCCCTTTGACTCTTGGTGTTAGCAGGCAATGAGCTCCTGTGGCCGTTCTTCATCACCATCCTCCTCCTCCCTTCCCRTTGCACTGAGAGGGGTGGGCAAAGGGTGCTTGGTTTGGGGTGCTGCAGGCAGGGCTGTGCCTGCTGAGAAGGGATGGGGTGCAGGAGGGCCAGAGCACCCCCAGAAAAACCTCTACCCACCTCTTCCCCATAAATAAGGGCTGCAGCAGCGGGGATGGAGGTGGGGCTGGCACAGTGGCCTCGAGGGGGGACAGTGGTGACAGCAGGGAGAGGTGACAGGGGCTGTTAGCTCAGTGCTGGCCCTGTGACCACAGAAAGGGCTGAGCCAAGACCCCCAGCACCGTTCCCTTGCTCCTGGCCCCTCTGTCACCCCACCACGTCCCTGCTGCCTCGATGCCAGCCAGGATGCTCCGATGGGGCTCGCTGGGGACTTGCTGCAGGGGAGGCAGARAAACCTCGGGGACCACGGCAGGGCTTTGAGATACTCAGCTTTGCTGGGATGCTGGATCAGCACTGGGTCCCCCCCAAAGTCTGGGGTGCTCTTATTTATAGCTTCCAAAYGCAGTGCCCAGGGTGGTGGGTCCTCTGCTGCCGTGTCCCCATCCCTGAGCTGTGGCACAAACCCCAGTTCTGGCTGCAGTGCSCTGGGGACACAGTGTGCCTCTCAAGGCACATCCATGTCCTCCACCACTGCGTTTGCTGGCTGAGGGGCTGGGCTGCAGCTTTSCCAGGGGATTTTGGGTGTTCCTGGCAAGAGCACATCACCCAATTTTGCACCTGCCTTTTCCATGTCTGTACCGAGGCGCCTGGCACACGCCCTGCTGGGGTGAGCTCAGAGCTGCCCCTGAGCTGGGACATTTAAACATCTCTCAACTTTCTGCCTTTGAACGCTTGCAGCAGCTGGAGCAGTGAGCACGTAGGGGGTGTGGGGGTGGGTTTTTTTCTTTTAACAAGGATAAAAAGAAATTTGCTAATTAAAGGAAAAAAAAAACTTAAAAAATACCCTGTTTGTCTTCCGCACATCCTCTGGCCTTTCTTTCTCCCATCACTGYCCAGTAGAGCCCGGGAGGTGACCCACGGTCCCCCAAAGTGACCCCCAGCACTGGGTCACAGCTGGCTGCCCTCTGCTGTCACCAGGACATAGGTGTGGCCCAGGGGATGCTCCAGGTGGCCTTTGGGCTCACTGCTGCTCAGAGGATCACCAGAGATGGTGGGACAAGGAGAGCTGGTCATCCGCCTCTTGGGGTAGAGGCTGCCCAGCTTGAGATGCCTTCAGTGCCCTGTGTTGGTGTCTCCAAAGGTTTGTGTGCCTTCCTAAATGTAGATACCCAGAGACATTCTTGTCAGGGGGTTCATCCCTTGGGACAGGTGGTGAGGAAGGCTGGTTAGACACCCTCAGTRCCTGCAGAAGGGTAGGGGACAGCTTTGTACCACCACAGGAGATGTTTGGAGCTGTTTCCAGCACTATTTCTGTTCCAATAGGGCCCAACCCCACTGCAGGGCAGGAATGGCCATCCTTTGGGATAAACTGGTGCTGGGACCTCTCCACTTGGAGCCCTGGAGTTGTCACACCACACACCCTGGGCCTGTCTGAGCCTCCACACTATGGGACAGCCCTCAGTCCCTTGAGTTCCTCCTGCCCTGTCCCAGGCTGTTGGTTCCCGTGACTCATGGAGAAGGCAGAAGTGRTCAGAGGGTCTGTGTTGGTGGGGAATGGTGTGGAACTGGGCTGATAAAAAGGCCTGACCCTATATTAGAGCACCCTGCTGGGTGGATCACCATCCCCTTCCTGCTTGGGTTTGTCCTCCTGCTGCTAAAATAGGTGCTTCATCCCCAGGGGCAGAGGAGGTGGCTCAGCATTGTGGTGACAGCCACAGTCCCTCGTAGCCAGGAAACCTCTGATCCCATACCCTTCCTTGTGGGAACTGTTGCTTTATAGGCTTGGAGATGTTTCTGTCCTGGTGAGATGAGTTTTCCTCAGCCATGTTCACGGCGGCATCACCTGGAACACTGCCCAGGATGGTCCTGGGATTCACCCACGACTCCTCTGAGCTGGAGTCAGGCTGGGGACTGAAGGGTTTGAATTCAGCCTCCTTTGGCCACTCCTGAGTGAGAGTTCACTCAGCMCTCAGCTTGGAGAGCTGGTCTGGGGAGAGCATGAGGGGGACAGGCTTTGCTTTATGTAGCATCAACCCAACCACCTTAACAATAGGGAGCTTCTGGTGTAAAAGCAGTCCTTGAGCTGGCCATGTGGCCAGATCCTCTGGCTGGCAGAGTGGCATCTTGATCCTCCTCAGTTTGAGTCACTGCAAAAAAAAAAAAACCAAATCATGCTGCTTAAATTGTCCTAAACCTTTTTTCTATTTTTTTTCTTTTTCATGGATATCTCCCCCCTAACCCTGAGATGTGCTGCTTCCATGGGAAAGACACCTTGGCAGCCCAGGAGTTGCTGTCCTTGCATGGRGGGCTGCATTCAAGGTTTCTCTGGACTGGACTGCCAAATATTTGGGATTTTTTTGATAGGAACTTGGGCTTCTTCCACTGAGATACCTGCTCCTTGATGTTTCAGCCTAGAGAGGGTTACAGAAGCAACAGGCTGGGGAAATYAGGGTCTTCTAAGGGGTATTTGGGTTAGAAATCTCAAAGAAGAGCTCCAGGCAGAAGTCTTGAGACAGTTGGGTAAGAGGGAAAGTTGAAATTCACTAGACGCAGCACCAGGGCAAGGCCTAAGCAACCAAGGGCTCATGGTTTGGGCTGGTCTTGGGATCTCTCCTCRTACACTAATCCTTGTTTCACCTCAGATGCCAAGATGCTGAAAGGAGAGCTTTAARACCTGATTTATTTGCCAATGCTCTCACTGCTCCAGGTGTTTCCTGGCAGGTGTCACAAGGAACAGACACCCTGTGGCTTTGGCTACAAACCAGCCCCCCTCATCCCGCCCTCTTCTCCAGAAACAAAGGCTCAAACTGGGTTTTGTAATTTCTCACCCCTATCCATCCCCTCACCCTCCACGAAAAGCCACCGTCCTTCCATAATTTGCAAGGACAAGGCTCCAAACTGGTGCAGGAACTTTGGAAGCCCAAGGGATGGCAAAGCAGAGATGCCCCAAGCATCAAATAAAGATCTGTAGCCTTTACCCAGGAGTCAGCCCATGGCTGAGCTTYGTGTGAGGGAATAAATCTGAGCAGGAACTCGTGGTTGTGTCACCATGTCACACATATGCCCTCACATGTCCCTTCTGTTCTTTGTTTTCCAGTCAGATGGAGCACATGGAGGGGGTGGGATGATGGGAAGGCAGGAAACATGGCCATCACGAATGTCCAGCTCTTCATTTAGGAAGGTTCTGGTGATGCACATTTAAAGACCTTGCATTTGTAAATTCACATTACGAGTCTTGCAGTAAGGCTGACATTGGTGCTTGGGCTGGGAGCTTCGGAGGTTTATGAGGAACAGATTTCCTGAGAAAGCAGACTCTGGCTCTATCCACAACASAACGAGCTGTTTCCTTTTTTTTTCTTTTTCATTGGATTTGTTTGGTTTTTATTAGTCCCAGTGGGAAAGCGTGCAGGGAGATTCGTGACTTCCATGCAGTTTCCAAGGTCTTGKATCTTATTTGCTGCCAGCACACTGGGTAGGTGCAGCTTGGCGGGTGGGTTTGGATGGGATTCTGTCTGGTGGGAGACAAATGTGGCTCTTTGAGACTTTCTTGGAGCACTGGGGGGGTCCTGGGCCGGGCTCTTGCGGACATTCCCGGGGAGGGGGCGTTCTGCTGCTTCCCTTCAGACAATGATCTCCCAATGAACTCTCCACTTCCCTGCTGTTCCTTTCTGTGCAACAAAGAACTGCATATTTTCCTTTTTAACCCCCTGGGCAACCATAGTAGTATGTAGATTAAGCCCAGATGATTTTTTTTTTTTTTAAATTGGTTTTTGTTGATTTTTTTTTTGGTCTGAGCCATAGCTAAATTATTGTACCCAATGCTTTTTGTATCAGACGGCATCACTTTGAATATGCAGATGAGGTATAGGATCTTGACACTTTATAACCTTTTTAAAAAGAAACTTGTCTGTTTACTTAATGTCTTGTGTAAAAAGGAAAAAAAATGTATGCCTTCAGTAATCACTTTTTTTGTTGGTTTTTTTTGAGTTTTATGAAATTACGGTGGTTACACTCCAGCAGCGAAATAAAAAGCGTTCACTGTTTTGTACATCCCTGTGTGCCTCGTGCTGCTGATGGGAGTTATCAGGACATGGGAGGCAAAGGCAGAGCTGAACTCTGGCCAAGGGTGGAAGTGAAGTGCACAGSGGGGTTGTTCAGGTTGGAAAAGAGGAAGAGCTCAGGAAGAGCTCAGAGCACCTTCYAGTGCTGTGAGAGCGTTGGAGAGAGACCTCTGCAAGGTCTGGAGTGACAGGACAAGGGGGAATGGCTTCAAACTGACAGAGGGTGGGTTGAGAGTAGGTTTTGGGAAGAAATTCACCCTCCGTGAGGGTGGTGAGGCCCCTGGCACAGGTTGCCCAGAGAAGCTG